CAAAGTGCTCTTTTGGGATATCATGGAGCCTTGATCATATATTTTGGAGAAGGTCGTGACTTATTTTTGGAAAGATGTGAATAGATTTTCCTGTGTGCCAATTAAAATGATCATTTTCTCAGTTCTCTGTTGCCAAAACTTGGATTAACTGTGAAATAAAAACAATATTGTGATTGCCGAGGGTTAGAATTAGAGTTGGGATTATCACTGATAATGACTTTGACTTCTGAAGGTGAATATATGAATTAGGCCCGATCATTCAGGACTTAGTGTGTGAAAAAACAAGCTTAGCTTCTGTTCTGGTTTTAGAGTTTTTCTTGATCGCTTTGGCACAATTGTGACAGCAGAAAAGTAATTCTTACTACTGTTAATACAGTTCTCAAATCAGGAACACATTTCATCAATACAAACTGCTAATGTTTCAATGCAAGATATGATGCACTTCTCACTTGAATCTCACGTCTCATCCAAAGAGTTCAAATTTCAGTCAAATTACTTCTGTCTGTCTATCTGCAACATAGAAAAATCAAAAGCCTTTATGTTCCACGCTTTTAATGTGTGCTTATGTAAAACAGTCAGAACCTTCCCCTCTGCTTTTCAGCCATGTAGTGAGAACAGCACCCGGGAGAGGAGTGCTTACCCGCTCCGACAGCCAGGAGAAAAGAAGGAGTGTCCACCGACTGAAGAGACAGAGCCATGCAAACTCAACAGGAACTGCTTTCACTACACCTACAACATCACTGGTCAGCATTAACCTGTTCAGATTTGTTTCCAAAGACGTTGAGATATTATGTATGTTAATAAAAACAATGAATGCAAATCAATTAAATTCTGTACTTAAAGCAGGGGTCTCAAACTCCAGGCCTCGAGGGCCGGTGTCCTGCAGGTTTTAGGTGTGTCCTTGATCCAACACAGCTGATTTAAATGGCTAAATGACTTCCTCAACATGTCTTGAAGTTCTCCAGAGGCCTGGTAATGAACTCATCACTTGATCCAAGGTGATATCTAAACCTGCAGGACACCAGCCCTCGAGGCCTGGAGTTCAAGGCCCCTGATTTAAAGACACAGCATAGTGCAGTGTTTAGCACTGCAAATTCAAAGCAAGCACATCCTGGGTTTAAGCTGTTCAGTGTGTAAAGTTAGCGTTTCACTTTGTGCCTGCGTGAGCTTTTTCCATGTACTGTATGTTTAAATCCTCATAGGTGTCAATGTGAGCATGAAGGATTGTCTTTTTGTGTTGGCTTTGCAAAAGACTTGCGATCTTTCACTGAGTGTACATCCAGCATGACGGATTAATTAAAGGAAGGAAAACAGAATGTCGGTTGTTTAAACTGAAACTTTGGCCCGCTCATTAAAAAGTATTTTATGGGTCAGAAATAAACAACTTGGGGTTAGTACTTTGCCCAGGCACACAGACTGAAGCAGCCACCAACCACCAACCTTCAGACTGTAGATGACCTACTCTCCTACCTCCTGTTATGCTGACCTTTTACTGTGTCTCTTCAGAATGGAGTACCTGTCAGCTCAGTGACAAAGCAGTGTGTGGAAATGGATTCAAAACCCGCATGCTGGACTGTGTGCGTAGTGATGGTAAATCTGTAGACCTCATCTTCTGCAAAGAGGTGAGATGTGTAGTACTGCTTGCCTTTTAAACCTTTGTAAATGTTTGAGTTCATGAAATACTAATGATATTTCTTTGCAGCTTGGTCTGGAGAGAAAGTGGCAAATGAATGCATCCTGTGTTGTGGAGTGTCCTGTTAACTGCCAGCTGTCTGACTGGTCACCATGGTCTGGCTGTAGTCACACATGTGGACTGGCAGGTAAACAAATCCAGGGAAGAATTGGAATTAACCAGTTACATTTTTCGCAGTAGTGTATTGCTTCTATGTGCTAACGTTTGAGTCCAACAGTCTCTAATCATATATGTTTCCTTTGAAGTTTTCTGTACTTTATCTGCACTGCACGGTGTTATTTTACAGCTCAGCTGCTCTAACAAGAATGATAAACACTGGAATAAAAGTGAATGTGGGAATTACAAACCTTTACTTCATGTAGATTGTCCAAATGCTTTACAAATGCTCTCTTAGCTTGGAGTTGCTGGTTATAGTGCAGGAGATTCCCCCACCTGGTGACTCCATTGTCCTACTTCATCACATGACAGTGAGACCTGGCGTGGTGTAATTGGGAGGAACGGCCTGCCTCGAGTGGTTCAGATTACTGGATTTTTGTGCAATTTGTGACAGAGGAATGTTCATGTGCACATGGCACTAGTACGCCCTGGGTAAATGATTGATTTTGTAATTTGTAATCTGGAAATGGTTTTTTTTTTTAGACTTTTTGAGAAGCTAAGCATTTAACAGATCAGCATCTAGTACTTAGTTAGATCAAAAGGCAGGGTAGGATGGTGGACAGGCCTCGCACCCAAACATAT